TGATCATGAGTTTTCTTGTTAAAGATCAAGTCTTGGCATGTAAAATGAGTTAAATAGGTAACCAACATGAACATAAACCTAAAAGTGTGTAAAAATGCATGCTTAGACTCTGAAATGGGTTAAAAGTTGAACCTTGGGAGTGATATCTCGCGAAATGCAGAAACTGCATTCTGTCGCGAATTTTTTGGATATGAATATCTGGATATAGGGTTGTAATTATCCGGATATGGATATCCGGATATGGCCCCGACAAATGTCCAAATATTCTGGGAATTTTGAGACAGTGACTGTTCTGTTCATACAGAACTGTATTTGGGGTTTATGGAACCTAGATTGGAAGAGTTGAATTTCTGTAATAACTAACTAAGTCAGAATCAAAGGGATTAAGGGCTTTGTGAGAAGCCTACTGGCATGAAACGTAAAAGGAAAATGTTGTCGTTATGTCTTGAATTATTAGGATACGAATATTGATGTGATTGCATGTCTAAAACAGATTGTGATTTTGTTGTTTGTGGACTTTGAGCTAGTGTGGACCTTGGCTTGGATTGATTGCTTAAGAGGTAAGCTTTTGTGTCCTCGGTTTAGCCATTGTTGGTTCCACCATACCCCAAGGGGGAATGGTTTATATGCATAATGTGTTTTCATGTTTGAATATTTGTAATGCTATTGACTGTTATGTGCAAGTGCCTTATGATATGCATGTGTCGTTCCACCTAGACGGTAATCCTGAGTATGTGACGTCATACGATATGGTGATTATGTGGGTGGGTGCAAGTGGTGTCTTGCACTGATTGTAGGTAATAGACGTATGTAAATCCTGCATTTCTCTGGCCTGTAGGATATTTTGAGACACATGACATGATTATTCTACTATATTGCACTGATTTTGGAACTTATATTGTTTTACTATTTTTAGAACTTATATTGCACATGTAAGTGAGCTTGGGGTGGAGAGATCCTTGAGGAACCCTTTGTCTTACTGAGATTTCTGTTTAGAGATCTAACCCCACGTTTAGGGTATATTTTCAGGTTCAGGTAACTCAAGGGGTTGAGACCTCGGGCGGTAGGAGACCGGAGCTGATGTGATATGCTTGTTGTTTATACTATTATGCTTGGATGCTGACATGTTCTATGTTTATTATTATGTTTTTGTTGTTGAGACTCTGTTGGGCTTTGTTGCCTTATTTGGTGAGCATGGGGGTTGTCCATGCCACATTGATTGACTATGTCTTATTTTAGAATTGAGTTGTATAATTGTATCAAGATATGGTCCGGACTACGTGTTGTAGTTCCGTGATTTAGATACACACATATTTATATTATGAGGTTATTCAGTGTAGTTAGCTGTCTATTTGCGATTACATACAGACAATGTTTTGAATAAGGATTAAGTAATCAACTTGGTAATTAATAATGACGTCATAATTGAAAAGAAAAAGTTAATTCCGCATTTTTATTAAGCAACGCTTAATACAATGACATGATAACAAACTGGGTATACACGGGGTGTTACAGACAGCAACATAAATATGTTCATTTGTAATTTTTGGTTTAATGCATAATATTACTTGGTAATCTGCGTAGGCATATTTGTAGAGTGCTATAGGTATGTTGCTTCCTTTTATCGGAACACCCTTTTTGAAATGCCTATGTGGTTATAGAATTGCAACATGTATTGATGACTAGTGTAATTTGTTTATTTTCAGGATAAATTCCTCGAGCGGAGAAATGAACGTGATATGTGACTGGAAATGACACAACTACCAATCAATCTGTTAATTCTTGTAGACTGTTGGTGGTATGAACAAAAAGTACTGCATTTTCAGTTTAAGTGTAGAGGCGAGTAAATACAAGGCTTCACAGAAGTTTGCTAGTTTGTATGAAGGAGTCTCTGCAAATGAGAGTATAATTGTATGAGAGAGATTATGACAACCATATCCACCCAAAATCAAGAATTGCAGACAAAGATGGCTATTATGAAAGAGTAGTTGAAGATTTTGATGGCTCATGTCTCCATGCCCACTGCTACACCTCCTGCTCGTGAGGCACTCAACGAGGTTCAAGTTGGTGATAACGCCGAATAATGATGTCTACGATGCCGAGTTACATGAGGATAATTGATAGATATTTTATGATCTTTTACATTTTGTGAACAACACTTATTAGTTGATATTGTAGTTTGATATATTTGTTATTTTTGCTTTTACAATACTTTTTATCATTAAGACTTCTTAGCTTTTTGGTTATGACTATAATGGTTTGTATGATTATAATTATTATAAGTTTCAAACTAGCTTTGATTGGTTATATGACTTTGATGATTTATATTATGACGATTATCAGGTATAAATTTTGTTACAAAAAATTCCAAATATTTTATTAAGTATATTTTGAAAGTATGGATGAAATTAGGCACAAACATATTTCGTCCCTATTGACGGATTCTGACTTTCTACAAATCATAATTGTTGACTATATTAGGGACGGAAAACACATATTAGAGACGGATTTTATTTCGTCCCAAAATATTAGTTAGGAGCGATTCAGGGACGAATATTATTCCGTCTCAAATTTCGTCCCTAAATAATTTAGGGACGGGTTTATGGCTTTTAGGGACGGAATTTTTCCATCCCTTATACTTATTTTTTTAGTAGTGATCAGGAACATCCCGAGTTGATGCTTCAGTTATAGGTGTTAAATTTGGCAACTCTGTAGGTGGAGTGATAACTCATATTTTATTACACTTATTTGTTACTCTTGATTAGTATTTTTAGGATTTATTTGAATAAAATAATGATGTTTTGAGTTAATTTGCATTTTTAGTTTTTGATTGGGTTTAATTTATTTTCGTCAGAATTTTTCAGCTTTACGTTACTTCTGTATTTTGGCCATATCTTGGTCCACAGTTGTCGGATTGACTCCGTTCTTATTGAGTTTTTCAGATAACACAAAGGGATACAATTCTTTTGAAGAGCTCGAAGCCCAATTCGAATTGGAAGCTAGTCGATTTCTTGCGCCAAGTCGGACACGTTTTGCTGAAGTTTTATTTTATTTATTTTATTTCATATTTGAGATAGATGGGCCGATCAGAACTGAACCCTAACCCGCTTTGGGTAGGGGTATATGACGGCAGAGTAGGAAACATTTGATTCGTTCTGTAATTTTCGAAATTGAGGATCAAAGTATTTTCTCTGGAGCGTTCTTCGAGTTCTTCATCTTTTCCTTCTTCTTCTTGTTATTTTAATCATATTTACCTTAGCCATGCGAGGCTAAGAACCTTTTAATCAACCTAAGGGTAACGGATTCCATGGATTAGTCTTGAGGGTCTGCGCTTTATTTTAAATCAGTTTCGTTTCCCTTCCAAACTCAGATTGATATCGTGCGATCGTGGATATTCAATCTGAGGTTCGCGATTGCGATTATGGAAAGGGATTAATCATCAGATTTGATGATTAGGTTGATTAACCCTATGACCTTAAATCAAGCGGGCTGATACTCTGCGATTGTATGAGTAGAAGCATCGTCTTTGATCAAATGCTAAGCGATCGCTTAGAGAAGGTTGTCAATTGAAAATAAGGATTCTGATTCGATTGACAAATCAATCACGATTCTGATATCTTCTTATCCGAGGAAAGACGTCCATGGAACCCAAACCTTAGGTTGGTTATTTTTAATTACGAATTTTAAATCCAATTTCATATTCTGCCTTTTTAATTATTCAACCAAAATTCAAAAACCCCCCTTTTAATTTCTGTTTTGATAAACAATTTTTACCCAAGCAATTTCCTTGAGAGAGATGACTTAGGGTTTCCAGTCTACTACAAATTTTCTGAACCCTAATAAAAAATAATTTTTAATTTGCGCGAGTTCGACAGCTCGTGTCATGGAGTAATCGAGTTATCAGCAGAAACATCATTAACATCATTATCAGGTGCAGGAAAATCTTTAGGTTCAATGGAATCACAAGCATGAACATTTCTAGGTGCAGAGGCAGATCCGTTCCCGATACAGGTCAATACATCAAGGAGGACTTCTTCTCCAATATTTCTAGCATAACTCTCCCCCTAAGGAGAAGTCTCGGAATATCCCTATGACTAATAAGGCTCATATTCTCGAAAAGAAGCCTCTAAAGTGATATGCATTTTGTGAAGAAAATGGTTATAACACCTATAGCCTTTCTGCAAATCTGAATAACCAACAAATACACACTTTTTGACACATGTATCAAGTTTGTTGCGTAGGGCTTTAGGGATATGGACATAAACTATACATCCAAAGACCCTAGGCTCAAGGTTGGGGATACGAGGGATAGAAAAGTAAGACTCCAACTTTTTGTGGTGTTCGAAAGTTAAGCACACTAAAGGGAGTTCGATTAATTAGATATATAGCATATATTACAGCCTCCCCGTAAGAAGGAGATTATTTATTGTGGTCCGGGACCACCATTTTTTAGGTGGTCCCTTAATGTAAATGGAGGGGTAAAATTGAAAAAGAAAAAAAATATAAGGGTAAAAAGGGAAAGGAAAAATTGATGATGTGAGAGGGAGCACCAGATCATTAGGTGGTCCTGGACCATAATAAATATTTTCCCTAATAAGATCGAGACATATTCATGCCAAAGAGAGAGGCACAAACAACTTCCAATAGTTGTCTATTCTTTCTTTCCGCTAAAACATTCTGTAGTAGAGTATAAGAACATGAAGTTTGGTGTCGAATGCCATGATAACTAAAGAAATTATTAAAGTTCTATTCATATACTCCATGCCATTGTCCGATTGAAAAACCTAAATTTGATATTATGCACCTACCATGTTGTGAAATCATTGAAAGGCTAAAAAAACATCGCTCTTTTTACGTAACAAAGCTACCCAAGTCATTCGAGTGCATTCATCAATAAATGTAACATAATAATAAGCCTTTGAAAAAGAAGGCATCTTGACAGGGCTCCAAACATCATAATAAACTACTTCAAAAGGGATTGAGCTTTTATTCATGCTTGAAAAATAAGGAATGCAATGACTTTTAGCCAATTCACAAGTACTACAATGAAAATCAAAATCATTCAGAACAGAAAATAAATGGAGCTGTAACTTCTTGAGATAATCAAAAGATAAGTGTCTCAGTCATCTATGCCAGAGCCAAATAACTTCCATTGCCTTATATATGTATATATATAGATATATATCAACATCGCTGTTCTGGCAAGCCAATAAACAATTCAGTATCCACTACATGTGAACTGTGGCTACTTGGACTGTGGGGTGCTGCTTCTGTGGGTTTAACCCATTGCTGCCGCCATGATTTTTCACCACACTGCCATCATTTCATCAACAAGAAAAGCTTAGAAAAGGTGATGGCTATAAGTTCCTTACTTTTAAAAATTGACAAGGTGGTTGGTTATGTAATTGTATTGTTGTAATAATTGCCTCACAAATTGCTGCAACTCTTCAAAAAAAGAAAAGCTAGACTTTGATTAGGTCAATGGTGGTGATGACTAGTGTAAATCCTCCTCTCGTGTCTTGTTTTAACTTTATTATATCATATAAAAAAAAATTATTCATTTATAGATCAACATAACCATTTAGAGTGATCCTATTCTCTTTTTTCATTTTATGAACTTTATTATTAAAATTATTGATTATTGATCTATCAATAAATGATTGAGATTTTTCACATTTCATGATCATGTTAAAATAAGACATGAGTGAATCAATTTCCTTTTCTCTTACTCTTTAATATAATGAAACTAATCTTTATGATTATATATTGATGCATTAAGAGTAATTTAAGAAGACCTAATAGCAAATCTTAATTTACATATCATGACAATAATCCTAGCTAATATGATCTAGACAATATTATATAAAGAACATACATTCAAAATTCATAAGAAATTTTTCTGTTGTAAAAACTGTGTTTTTTGTGATAGAAAAAAGTTTGGTTTGGATTTCTTGTCATGTAGCAAATACTAATTAGAAGACGATGGGGACTGTGGTGGATGTGGACTTGGGTTTCGGCTTACTTTGCATTGGACCTAGCTGATGATAAATACTAAAACAAGCGAGTTGTAATGACCAAACACCCAAAAAAAAAAAACTAAAGATTATTTAGCTTATTTATATTTATCGTATTTTGTAACAATAATCTACATTTATATGTCAAATTATATTTATTTAACAATATTATTGATTAATAACTATCAAATCAAACCTAATTACACTGTTGGGAAGTAAATAATGGCACTATTACTAATTTTTAAGATGATACTTAAGTTTTACGACATATTATGTACGTTTTCAAAACACTTATACATATAATTTTATAGATGATAATTAATTTCAATTGGATAAAAAAATTTATATTTTCAATCAACGACAGTGAATGACACATCACTTTAATTTCACAAAGAAAAAAAAAACCACTTGAGATTATTTGGCTTAAGTATTTTTATCGTATTTTGTAACAATAATCTACATTCATATGAGGCATTATCTTCAAATGTATTTAACAATATTATTAATTAATAACAATCTAATCAAATCTAATTACCTTGTCGGGAAGTGAATAATAGCACTATTACTAATTTTTGAGATGATACTTAATTTTAATCGACATATTTTTTATTTTTTTTTGATATAGACATATTATGTTTTCAAAACACTTAAATATATAATTTCATAGATGATAATTAATTTGAATTAAATAAAGTTTCTAACATTTTCAATCAACGACAATGAATAAGCAATCACTTTACTTTCACCAAAAATAAAACCTAAAGAACATTTAACTTAAGTATATTTATTGTATTTTGTAACATAATCTTCATTTATATGTGAAATTATCTTCAAATGTATTTAACAATATTATTGATTAAGAACCATCTAATCAAATATTATTACCTTGTTGGGAAGTAAAATTGTAAATATTACTAATTTTTAAGATGATACTTAATTTTTACGACATATTATGTTCTTAAAACACTTACATATATAATTTTATGAGAAAAGTTATACTTACAACTTTTTTTTTTTACAATTTCTTACAACCATATCTTAACATTGTTAATTTCTGCTAATCAACGGTTATAATTTATTGTGAATTAATAATTAATTAATGAATTTAATTTGTGAAAATCATAACCGTTGATTGACGAAAATCAACGGTGTTAAGATATGGTTATAAGAGATTGTAAAAAAAAAGTTGTAAGTATAACCTTCCTTTAATTTTATAGATGGAAATTAATTTGAATTAAATAAAGTTTTTTATTTGGTTTAAATATGTTTCTCATTATTTACAAAATGCTTAACGTTATAATATTTTTAATTTTTAAGATAATTTTTAAATAAATGATTTTTAAAATAAATAAACTATAAAAATTTATGTGAATATTTTTTTAAAATTTATTTTTATCAATTATTATCGTGTTACATTTTCATATTCTTGGTATGAAGTAATGATAAAAATAAAGAAAAATATTTATTTAAACTAAGAATAAAAATTGTTTTTGAGAAATTTAATCTTTAATATCTAGTTGTATTACAATTTTAATTAATAATTTTAATTGATAATATTATAATTTTATCTTATAATATTATCAATTTAGATTAAAAAAATATTTATGTATAAAACCGCATGTTGTTAAGTTTAAAATCTCATGAATCTAAATGATACAGCATATAACCATAAGAGGTAAATCACTCGCAATGGTTGCAGAGATTTACTAAGAAAAGGCTTGACAAAATAGACACCCACAGCCACATGAAAGATGAGAACAACAACCAACACCAACAAACATAGCTCATGAAGACCGAAGACGAGACTTATACTTTTTGGTTTTTTTTTTTTTCAGATTAATTAAGATCACATATAATCAATAATATGGTACCAAACTGAAAAAAGAGAGCAGAAGCTCACCATTTCACTTAATTTAGCATTCTCTCCGAGTATGTCTCTCTCCTGAATTTAGTGTGGAAAAATATGTTAGGCGTGAAGGATTTCAATAACACAAATAAGCGCGTCCGTTTAATTTGCATTTGAGCTGAGTGTACCTTGTTTTGTAGTTGTTCAATGTGCTCCCTAAAAAGCTGACCCTGAAACAAGATCAAACCCTCAATTTTGTTCCTCCCTTTTTTTTATGTCTATTCTATCTGTTTCTCTTTCTCTTCAACACCATTAAATCATAATCTTAAAATCAGAAAGAAAATATGAAAGTTAATTGAGATTATAATCTAACAATATTAGAGAGGAGTACGTAGAATAGTAGAATAGCATAAAATAAAAAAAGTTAAGCATAATAATAAATCACATTTCGGTTTTTTTTTTTTTAATCTCAAGTTACTTACCTTTCTTTGCCTGATCTTTTGCAAACTTCTATCCAGCTGGTCCTCAATTCCTTGGAGTTCATCAAGAGAACAAGAATTCAAGCCATGTCCCAGTAGCATCCCGAGACATTCAAATATTATACTAAAAATTGTTGGCAGTGCAACTCATTTGAGGCCACAACATAACCTAATATATATCAGCTTTATTTGGATTGGATAAAAAAAAGTTGTTTAAGAGCATTAATCAAGAAATAAAGTTCCTAACTATCTCAACTACCAGTGAACGCTCACACAGAGAGTTAAAAAGTATTGAAAAACGGATGAGCTATTGGTATGACAAACTAGCTAGGTATTTAAACTAATGAGTCACCTTTGAGAATGTTCAAGAAGCTCTATCTTCTTTGCCATGCTGGATGACTCAAACACGAGTTTCTGCATATAAAACATTAAAAAAAAAAAATAGTAACATACATGACTGACTATAATAATAAAAACCATTAAAATGCCACTGTACAAGCTCACTATCATAATAAAAACCATTCATTACCATTCAGAATTTCTAATTTTAAGCCTATTCAATTACATTTGCATATAAAACCCACAGAAACTTCGGTGTACGATGTGTAATCCCATCATAAATCCTAAATGAAGTTGGTGACCTTCTCTAAATGTACTTCCCCTAATCTAAACTTTAGATGAGAGAAAAAAAAAAACTTGCAGAAACCAAATCAATGATAGACTTCTTACCCGCAGGTTAGTCCTCTTTAATGGACGTAAGTAATTCCTACTAATCATGAAACATTTAGATGATTTAAGAACTATTACAACCCAAAAACTTAAACCGATAAGTAATGCTACATTAATGGTTTTTGTATTTATCTAACATGCCTCATCACACAAGAGTGCACTGGGCTTACAGGTCCACCTCTATGTGCTAAAAAACTCCACAAGACTTAATTAATTATTAATTAATTTGAGGGGTAAAACAACCTCTCTTTTTTTGTAGCTTTCTTAAACTATTTCTCTTTGTAAAAAATAATTTTCTCAAAATAGACTATTATGAAACATGCATTAATTATCTCAAAAGTTGATCTATTACATGAAGTCACAAGAGTAATTTTATACCTTTAATATAAAGGTTATATAAAAATAATGTTTAAGAATGATACATTATCATATAAGGCTAGCTAGAGACTTCCTATATATTAATACTGAGCCCATCAGAAAAACTCCTAAAAACACAGACCAAAGCACAATACAAATCATAATAAATGATTATGGAAAATTAAAATAGAATAACCCTAAGATTGAAAATTATACAAAACTAATTAAGGTAAGAACATCCTAACTTGTCCTGTTTTTTGACATAACAACTTTATAATCTTGATAACGCAAAAACAGTAGTATATATGGTACAAGATTATAACAATGAACCTCAAGAGTCGGTATTAAACTAAAATATTGAGGTAATTTATATTTAAACGATTATTTTGTATTATCTTAAATTCTAAATTTAATGCCCCTATAACTTAAGTGCAGTAAGTCAATAAAATATTAACATCGTTATTACACTAGTGAACATAATATTTGTTCAATAGAAATGAATGATGTGTCAATGCACATATTTGTTTAATAAAAATTGTTCTTAAGGTCCTTTTCCTTGTCATGGACAAGTAATCAGTTGATCTATCAAGCAAATGCCCCTACTTTTAAACATCTTAGCAAACAATTTTCACTTGCTTATTCTCTAATAGTTAAAATCTCTATAATTTATGGATTTACTGATATACTATGGATCTAATCCAGCTCATGCGCGCGTTATTAGGCCTATATTTACCATAAATACTCATCAAATCTCAAGGTTTACAACTAACAAAATGGTTATCACCATTAACAGGATGGGTACCAACAAGACGACTTATATCTCTCATTCCTGGGTTAACTTTCAACTGGATGCAAAACAAATAGCTAGCGTGAATGGGATAGTTTTCACACTACAAATTTCTAAGATTAGAAAATTTTCCTGAAATTTTTGAAGAGAACTAAATTAGAGTTGAAATTAGAATATCTAACAATTAATTTGTAGCCTTCATCATATTGGTTAGCACATGCAAAACAATATACTTAACAAATAACTAATTATTCACTTTCATATATGAAGTTTTCTAAAGTTTTAAGATGAAAGTCATACCTGGATAAAGTCCTCTTCGAACTTATTAGCGGGAACATCTTTGACATATTCACGGTATCGTTCCAAAATCTTTTTCATGCTGAAGCATTTAAAACAAATTACTGTCGACATTAATATATATAAGCTAGCTATATACATAAGAATTCTATACAAAACATGGCAGCCAAAATGTGTAGGAATTTCAATGAATGTAAAACTTCAATTCAGATAATTAAGCACAGGCGAATCAGTGACCTGCCTGTGAATCGGTTTAACCGATAAGAAACCGGACCAATTGGACACAACCAACCGGACTTGAACCCCACCACAGTGAAGAAAATAAGAGATAACAATCACTATGTCAATGGTCCATTTGTAATATTTTATTACTACTCTAATACTCATTATATAGTTTCATATAAATTTAAATAAAGCGGTTCAACCAATAACCCACCGGTTAAATCATTGATCCAGTATCTATTGAGTTCGTGCTCTTTTACTAAAGCCCAAATGAGCTAAGAGTATGAGAAGAGCCCAAGAAACCCAGAGCTCAATGAGCTTAAGGCTAGGGTTTCTTGAAACCCTTATAAATACTACCACTTAAGTCATCAAGGTCATTGAACAGAAGAGGTGAGCTCATATATGAAAAGTGCCCACGCACTTCCCCTTCCCCCTCGAGAAATTTGAAAGGTTTACCAAAACCTAGAGATATTTGTTCGCTCTGTAACGCAGAAAAGATCGGTTCGTGAATTCGTGCTATGACACAAAGGACGCCGATTTGTGGAGCATCATTCTAGATCTGCGCTACAAGAGGTAATTGTAAACAATGATGATCCGTTACATTCCAAACTGTAATGGTCTTAACACTTCCGCAGAACCAATTACTCCTACAATTGGAATCAGAGCATCCTGAAAGGACACCGGACGCGCCCCCTGAAGTGGCTGTACGTGGGTCTCACTCGCTGGTACAAATTCAATGTATGAAAGGGCGTGGATGACCGGTTTCAGGTGGTTCCAGCGACATTGTGTTCGTCCCTACACGGCGGTCCTTCCCCTAAAGTTTCGTGCTCATATGAGTTCAAGTGACGGCACGGTGAACGTGATGGCTAGGATTCCTGAAAGTTGATTTAGGATTTCTTGTCAAAGTTTGGTATTTTGGGCCTTTGGACCCATGGTTACCATAAAAGAGCTTGAAATAGAACCTATAAACCAGAAGGAAGGAGCAAATGGGCTGCAAAAGTTTCCTTTTGTTTATTTTGTAATTTTATCTTTTTGAGGAAACCATGGTTAAAGTTTTTAATTTTTAATTGCTTTATTTTTATGAATGAATGAATTGTATATTGATAACATGCTCTATGTGATAGGTGGTGCCACCAAATAAAATAGATGGTGTCATATTATTGCATAACTTGTAAATTACATGAGCATAGTAACTATTATGTCTTCAGCGACTAGTATGATAGTTATTATGGGATTATTTTGATTTTATATTATCTTAAAAAATTAATTAAAAATTATTATGATTTTTGTTAAAAATCTAGATTGATAATTTAATTAATTAATTTTGGATAATTAAAATCAAGACAAATGTTCCGGAAAATTTCCTAAGAGAACTGTTTATTTTGCGAGTAATTTGTGGGTCTTCTAAAATGGTCATGTATTAAACACACTGCATACCATAATCATGTATCATGATTGTGTGAAGCACACACTGCCTATCATGACCGGATTTTAGGACCTTAATGATTTCAAAATTCTGATAAACTAAGCGATGCACGTCCATCAGTGAGCTGCTTACAGAGTTTTTGAAATCAAACAAAGGTTACTCTCAATTTAACAATTCTTAGAAATTGGCAAATTCTAAATTTTAAAATATTGAATGGGTGAAGGTTTTAAATTAAGTAATTAATTTTAAAACATGTGGGCTCCATTTGCGGGTTTATTAGTGAAATGATTATTGCTAAAGCCCCATCGAATAAAAATGGTCGGATTTTACTAGATTAAACCTTAATAATTTCAAAATTTCATAAAAGTATTGTATGGCCCATTGTCAGCAATTCTTGGATACTAAGGATAATTTTGAAATTAAAAATGGTTAATTACATTCAACTTTGGTAAAATTGTTAACCCTCCCATCGAGGCTCTGGCAATGACACTGAAAGCCCAAATAATAATTTTGGTTTTTACAAGTGACTTGCCTATCGTAAGCCTTGTAAAGAAAACTGAAGGATTGTTAACAATAAACAATGAGTAGTTATTAGAATCTACTTGCGATTAATCTGTTTATTGCTATTCTTGTTTGTAAACTGTGTGCTTTGTATTTTTTTCTAGAAAATATCATCTTTCAATCCATTAGCTACTATCTTGAGTTAAAATCCTATGGATGAGTCAATATCATCTTTTGATATTGTTCTGCAATATGAAAAGCTCAACTTTGTCCTGACTACCCCTAAGCCAACGCAGCCTGCTAAAAATGCGTCTGAGGCAACAAAGATGCAATTTTCAAATTGGAAGAAGGAAAATGTTGCAGTTCGCTGCAACGTTCTGGCCAGTCTCGCCAATCACCTGTCGGAACAAGTGAGCATGATTGAGAGTGGAGCAGAAATTCTCAAGACTTTTCTACTTCTACCAGTTTGCTAGGCTGAATGCGCTGATTGCGGTCACCAAAACCGTTATGACTGGAGGAAGTGTGTGGGATCATTGTTTGACAATAATAGCAAACTTCAAACGAGCGGATGACAATGGGACCAAATTTAAACAGGAGGTGAAAGTTGACCTCCTTTTGCAATCACTACCTGAATACTTCAACTAGTTCAAAATGAATTATAATATGAACAAGATAAATCTGGATCTTACTCAGCTGATGCACGAGCTTGAGAGTGCTGAACAATCTTTGATCAAGCACAGAAATGCATTTTTTGCTGCTGAGAGTTCTGTTAAACCTGAGGGGAAACCCAAAGAAGATAACAAGAAGAAGAAGAAATTAGGTTTCCAGTTGTCAAACCAGTTGCAAAGAAGCAGCCAAAAGGAAAGTGCTTCAAGTGCGGACGAAAGGGGCATTGGAAGAAAATTTTCCCATGTGTGAACCAACCAGATATAGGTAATTTACTTGTGATTAAGGCATGTTTAGTGGAGAATTACAATGATAAATGGATCATTGATTCAGGAGTCACTAACCATGTTTGTTACTCTTTGCAGTGGTTCAAATATAGCTTGCCTATTAGTCAAGGACAAAGAGTTTTGAAACTTGAAAATGGGGAGCTTGTGTCTGCACTAGTAGTAGGACAAGTTGTTTTATCTTTTGAAAATTGTAGAACTTTGACTTTGGAAGACTGTTTATTTGTTCCGAATTTTAAGAGGGATTTAATTTTTGTTAGTTATTTGGTTAAATATGTTTAAAGTTCAGTTTAATTCCTCAGTTTCACCAAAAAGTTCATCTTCTTTTATTTGTTCTGGTGCATTGTTTAATGGTCTTTATTTCCTTAGTCCTACAACCCATGAAGTTAATCATGTTGAATATGGAGATGATGAGCATATTCATTTACCTAAGACAAAAAAGTTTCTAATGAAACTTATCTTTGGCATTTGCGATTAGGTCATATTAACTCTAACAGGATACAAGGTTCGGTCAAGAGTGGAATTTTAAAATCCCTGGTTTTTGAACCAATACCAGTATGTTAATCTTGTTTAGAGGGTAAAATGACTAAGCAGTCTTTCAAGGCCTAAGGCAATCATGCCACACTTCAGCTGGAATTGGTACATACTGATGTATGTGGACCAATAAATGTCCAGGCCAGAGGCAGATATGAGTATTTCATCACATTCACTGATGCTTACTCAAGATTTGGACACGTATTCCTGATGCATCACAAGTCTGAAACTTTTGGAAATTTCCAAGATTTCAACGCTGAGGCAGAAAAGCATCTTGCTGTTCAAATCAAGACTCTTTGGTCTAACTGAGATAGTGAATACCTATCTGGAGAGTTCATGTCTTACCTGACAAAGGAGGGGATAGTTTCACAATTATCTTCTCCAGGGACACCCCAGCAGAATGGAGTTGTTGAAAGGGGAAATCGAACCCTTTTAGAAATGGCAAGGTCTATGCTCAATTATTCATCTCTGTCTGATTCATTATGGGGATATGCCTTAGAAGTTGCCAAGTACTTATTAAACTTAGCTCCATCCAAATCTATTTTGAAGACACCCATAGAATTATGGAAAGGGTGCAAGCCCACTTTGAACCATATCGGATTTGGGGTGCTCCAGCACATGTCTTACATCAGAAGCCAAATAAGACGGACTCACATACAAAAGTGTGCATGTTTATAGGCTATCCTAAAGGAACCGGAGGTTGGATGTTTTATAGTCCGAAAGATAAGAAGGTCTTAGTAAGTACTCACACGAATTTCTTAGCGGGGGACTATATGGCAAACTACAAGCCAAGGAGTGCGGTTATTCTTGATGAGCTTGTCTCAAATCAAGTTTTACCTCAACCTCAGGTGGTTCCAGCTTTTGTTTCTGTGGTTATTCAAAGAAGGGAATATATACCTGAAGTTGAACATACACAGGAACCAGATATAGAACCAAAAGTTCAGCATGATGATCAACAAGTGGAACCTATAGAAATGCAAGCACCACTTATAGAAGAACAAAATCAAGAATTGGTTAACCCACCTAATAGGAGTCCTCAAGAAATTGTTGATCCACCAAACTTGGATCCTCTTGTACATCACAACAAGAAGTGCGACAAAGTCATAATGGGAGATTGATTCTAAACCCGTAAAATATCTCTTGTTGGGTGAATCATATAAGGATGTCACCATTGAAAGAGATGATGATCTCACTAGTTACAACGAGGCACTAGAAGATGTTAATGCACAGGAATGGCTAGGGGCTATGATCCGTGAGATAGAGTCTATGTATTCAAACTTAGTTTGGTCTCTTGTAGAAGCACCTAAAAGGATAAAACCCATAGGGTGTAAATGGATCTACAAGAGAAAGACTCCTGAGCAGAGAGAACGCATGGGTAGGCTACCTTATGCTTCGGCAGTAGATAGTCTCATGTATGCCATGCTGTGTACCAGACCAGATATCAGTAGGTGTAGTAACTCGATACCAATTTGATCCTAGAGAAGAACACTGGATAGCGGTTAAGCATATACTCAAGTATCTTCGGAGGACGAGAAATTATATGTTGGTCTATTCTAGTGGGAGTCTTGAAACCATTTGTTACAAAGACTCAGATTTCCAAGGACATATTGACTCCAGAAAATTGACCTCAAGCTATGTGTTCACTCTTCATGGCGGGGCCATTTGTTGGAGGAGTGTCAAACAATTGTGTGTGGCTTACTCTACCACAGAGGCTGAGTATGCGGCTACATCTGAAGTTGCAAAGGAAGCCGCATGGTTGAAGAAGTTCCTTATGGAGCTTTAGGTGATACCGGGTGCTAGTCATCCCATCACTCTTTATTGTGACAATAGTGGGGCAATAACACAATCCAAGGAACCGAGGCGTCACAGAAGACAGAAACACATAGGGAGGAAGTAACACTTGATCTGAGACATCATTGAAAGAGGAGAAACAGTGGTAACCAAGATAGCATCGGAAGAAAACCTTGCTGACCCTTTTACCAAGAGTTTGCCTAAACGTGTGTTTGAGAGGAATGTTATATCTATGGGTCTTAGGAGGATTCCAGACTTGTTGTAGCTTTATGAGATTTGATTTTACTTAGTTAATTTTATGCTCTAAGTAAGATATTATGGCATTGTAATTTTTCTGAAAGTTTTAAATGAGGTATTATTCATTTATTTTACAAACACCAAGGTCCGGATCGTGTAGTATTTGATCATATGGATACGTTCATGGAGGACATGATCATAGGTTCTCACAATTGATGAATAGATTCACAGCTGTTAAATAAAGTTGGGCACTTTATTTAGGCTGCAATATTTTATGAAATGATTTTGTCCGAACCATTGTAAAATATTGGTATAAATTAATATTCACATTGAAAGGATCAAGGAGAGATTTGATTAAGGTTGTTTTTCTTTCTTAAGGTATCAAACATTCATATAACTATAGTTATGTGATTGCTCTTAATCCTAAGTTTATTTTAAATAGGTAATCAAATAGTTTTCATTCTTTGACTTACCAACGGGTGAGGTTCAATCTATTGACGACCAATAACTCGGTATTTTAGGAGTGAAATTATTTGATTATCGGTATTTATAAGATAAACAACATGAAATTTGTAGGATATGTCCCTTTAATATGTTTCGGTACTTGGATATTGAAGACATGGGTCAATGCATGTAATCCATTAAAGAAACTATCAGAGTCAAGGGAATAAATAATTGATTGAGTAACAGAAAACTTATCAGTCAATTATAGACATTCTACAAAGGGACGATGCATATTCATGTTATAAGTGTTATTAATCTTGGAGTTCAAGTTTGGGCTTTTAGTGGAGTAGCACCTACTTAGATAATCATTCGTTGATTATCAGGAGCCTTAATTAATAATGATGGTAGATCCACAGACTAGCTTGAGACAAGGGATGAGATGTTTTTCAATTAATGATGACTTATGGGTTACATAGTCTTGGGTTTTGGACTCATGTTTGTATCCAAAAGAGCAAGTGGGAGATTGTTGGGTTTGTACTCTTTTACTAAAGTCTAAATGGGCTATGAGAAGAGCACAAGAAACCTAAAGCCCAATGAACTTAGGGCTAGAGTTTCTTGGATCCCTTATAAATACTATCACTTAAGTCATTAGCCTCCTAGGTCATTGAACAAAAGAGGTAAGCTCAGATTTAAAAAGTGCCCACACACATCCCCTTCCCCCTAATGTATATGTAGTTATTTTAACACCGCATTTGGATAAATACTATTTATAGAAATACAATTATATAACTAAATATAAAATAAAAGAGCAGAAAATGAAACATATTTTTAAGATTTGGACTTGCTATAACTAATTAATATATATCCCATTCATCTAGCGAATGGTATAGACCACATTTCTATAAAATAATAAGATAGATAGGTATGAGACTTCTATAGACTAAAGTTTCTGCAAATGAAGATTTACTGAGCTAGTAAGCATAAAAATTTTAGAATTGCAATAAATTTCTTTTGGGAGAACTAACTCCTGGATGTTCTCGATTTGAACAAGAATACTCGTAATTTATCCAAAAAAAATTAATAAAAATCTTAGTGCCAATGAGCAAACCTAAATTAGTGGTTTACTCTACACACGCAACTAAACTTAGCTACCTGTAATTTGACCTAACAAAATATAACTGCTATTCATTTTTACTTAAAACTATAATTTATGGTTCAAAATCATATTTAAGCATAATCCAAAACAAATCACCAATCACATAATTTGTAAGCAAAATTCAATTTACTTGGGATAAGCTGAGTGTAACCTAAACACCCTACTAATAGGATTAAAGCAAATCGAAACACATGATATATTTGCAACTTGTCGTCACTACAAGTCACCTAGGAAATGTGTAAGGAATGTACGGAATGGAACTGTTAATAATAAGGTTAAAAGACAAAGATAGGAACAATCTCTCTTCCCGAGATGAGGAAAAGAGATGTATATTCTCCTGACTATTGTAAAGTTAAAAACTACATTGAGTAATGCTTATTGGAAAACCACATGAACACGTGTTTGCACCTGAAACTGTTCCCCACTTCTCATGATTTGAAAAACGTCAGAGTGCAGTTACTTAAGATAGGTTAAAATGCATTCCATGTATACTATTTTAATTGTATATATAGATCTGTCAAAAGTAATAATTAAAAAATAAAAAATCATGAACGTAATTACTAAAACATTAGTATTATGAAATACTTTCTTGTTTTATGAAAGTTCATACATTTATTTAAGCACTTAATATTTAATTTCCAAATATGGTATTATGTTTGTAATATATTGAAACAATTATGATAGAAGTCTAAAGATCTCCCCACCTCTAGTATAAAAAGGAGATTTTAGTCTTGTATTAAGTGTGCCAAAAATAAAAAATAAAATGATATTCATCTATAATTTTCATTTTCTTCTAACAGGGTCGTACTTGGTTTTCACTTTAACTACATTTTTAACGTTTTAACTAATGTGATATATTCAATGATACAAAACATTAAAAGTCACTTCCAACGGGAGCACTTAAGAATCTGTCGATGGAGAAGAAAGACTGATTTTTCTTTTAATGTTGAAAGTTTAACTGATTCTAGTTGTTTACAGGAATAGCATTTCAAGTATTTGGCAGTGACTTAACAAGAATGGTGCCCCGAGGAAGGAAACGTGGAGAAGAAGATTAGTTCAGAAATCCCCCTGTACACAATACTTCACATCAAACTCTGTAAGTTCATAAAAATTAGTGTTACCTACTCTACACATACTCATGCTTCATTTATTAACACAAGACAAAACAATAATTCTAATCCTACTCACGCATTAAATACACTCCATCACTTAAAATAATTATTCCAATATCAAAGACTGCATCCCTAGTCCCTATATGATTCTCTCGACCGGGTCTAAGGGGGAGGAACTTTTTTTTGGATTTCTTTTTTTGATAATTTCATAAATTTTCTATAGGTTAATTTGGAGTTTAGGGCGGGTTCAAGACTTTAAATTCCTTCCAAAAATGATACTGAAGAGAATCAAACATATCCTCTCACCCTAACTACTCAACTCCTATGAGTCTACTGAACTATCATCTTTTGATTTCTCCACAGAGACTCGTATACACGTTAGTTCAACACCCATTTATACGACACCTCACGTGCACGTACAAATCGGTGAACACATGATATCCAAGATATATCTTTTAGATGCTCGTCTCTTTTCTTCTTTCTTACGAACAACACTCTATTAAACACTGATATTTATCTCTTACAAAGATATCAATTCTCCATATCAGAATCCTTAAATAGATATGAAAATCAACCATCAAACCATTGCTAATTACACACTTGAGCTTTATTAATACACCTAAGAACAAGTGGAAAGAAAAGGAAAGTTAACTCTCACCTAAAAGGGTCAATTGAATGGCTCCTATTTTGCATATTTCAACTATATATTAGCTAGGGACATGTCAACTGGAAGCAAAACACTAATAAACTAAACCCGACATCAATGGAGAGCATTGGAATTACCTAGATCAGGGTTCAAAAGGGAACCAAGCTATGAATGTAATTATCCAATGGGTTTTGTAACAGACCTTGAGATCATCACCCAAAAGCAAGCTCAAAGGGTGAGAGTGTCTAAGGTCTTATAAACCTCACATTAGTTGCATATATAACTCATGTGAGATTCGTAACATTGCCACCCCTTTAAGGGCTGTCATAAACCGCGACTTTCACTCTATCAACACTGACTCAATGGTAGCATTTTTCCTTTTGGCGGTTTCACTCATCTATCAGTATTCTGTAAAATATTCCTTTAGGATGTATGGCACCTTAATTCAGCCTATAAATAATCCTTTCCGTGATTTTAACTCTCAATGAAAGCACCAATTATAACGGACCTTGAGGCCACCACCCCAAAAACTAGATCAACGGAGAAAGTGCCCAAAGCCTTATACATAACCAACGTGAGATTCGTAACAGCTTTCAATTTACTTTGGTAAATTGAGTACCCTATGTCACTATCCCAGTGGATTGAGTAGCCTATGTGAGTATTTTAGTAGCTTCCAGTAGAAGGAAAGATACACAAAATTTTCCCATGAGATCACCAAACCTTATAAGTAGTTTGAGGCATATTAAAAACGTGAGGAATAGATACAAGGATACCAAATTACCCAAACCCATAACTCAAGTGCAAGTACATGATTATATCTACTTGACTATCTCCAAAGCAAATCATTTTACAAAGAAGAATCATGTTACGTTGTAGAGTCAAGGTCGAAGATAACGTACTCTGAACTTGAGAATTCATAGAGTCTGCCTTTTTGTGAGAAGATTATCACAGCAATTTGTGCTTCACAAAGAACAGATAACTCGTGAGCTTTCTTTAGAAGCCCATTTTTACGCTTTGAAAAAGTCACTTGACGGCTTTCTTCTTTCTCAATTCTTTTCATCTGAATCTTCCCTCTCACCATGTTCTAGACATAATCAAGAAGAAATAATAAAAAATAAGAAAGTCAATATTATGGTCAAGCTATAGATGGAACAAAACAAATTAACTAAGAAGAACTAACACTAGGAGATGGCAAAAACTAAAAAAGAGAAAGGGAATTAAGGGAACTCATGACTAACAGAAATTGTCAATGCTTCTCAGAAATGCTTCTCTTGTGCTCTTTTAAAGGAGAAAACTACTGACTAATATATATCCCTGAAGCTGAAAAAATGCAAGACTTTGAAACAGACAATGAGAACCCACAATAGAGAAACACAAAAAGATTCGATCTTTTTCAAAAAATAATTATGTCCACAAGCTCCAAATGGGATTCACACCTCAAAGGGTTATCAAATCTTGTGAAAAACATTGAGAACCAAAAAAATATATATATACACAGGTTGGAAAGATTCAGAGTTTTGTGTGTGCAAAGACAGAGATGATGAAGTTTCAGCAGAGGTCAACGAAATGATAAGAACAGCTAGAACAGCTAGAAGAATACTAGTGAGGATTTTTAGAGCAGTTGCAAATATTCGAAAAACCCTAAAAAGATTCACTATTATTGCAAATTTGGAATTAGTCCAGCTTCTTATTCTTAGGCCACAAACACACTTTATTTCCTCTTTCATCTCATTTCGTAATGGTCCCAAAAGTTGGTGGATGCGCCAATGGGTAGAAACAGTGAAAGGAAGAGAAAAAGGAAAGTATCCAACAAACAGAGAAACCCAAACTGAGTAAAATTATTGGAAGGAGAAAAACACACTGAAGTTTGTCTTAGTCTAGAAAATAACATAATGACTAGTCTTTTCTATGAAATTTGTTTAAATTTGATGAAAGATTTGGTTGAATAAAAAAGACATAGAAAATGGTTTCTGTTTTCTTTGGATGCTTCAATGCATCAATTGTCTTGTCTTGTTTTAGAAAAAATTGAGAAAACACTATATTAGGCAAAAGAATTTATAAATCTTTATGATTGATGTTTCTGAATAAAACAAAGAATTTGATGTAATTTTTAAGAATTATAAATATTTAAATTAACTGTTAAAGTTAACATGTATAAATCTTTTTTTAAAAGATAAATAATTTTACACTGATTAAAAGCTACTTTATCTAAGTAGTACGTAATTAAGTGAGTGTTTGGTCAGGGAGAAATTTTTTAATACTATGAAAATGGAAATACTAGGGATCTGCAGGGAAAGTGACTTAGATAGGAAAGTTTTAAAAAAGTTGTTTGGTTGGGCAAAATTTTACCAGAAAAATTGAATTAAATTTTTGGATATGTGTTTGGTTGAAGATAAAATATTGATGAGAAAACTTAATGAAATTACAAAACTATCCTTGTAAAAACACCTTGGTTTTATTATAATCTTCGAACCACAAAAGAAGGAGGGGTAAAGTTGTCATACCTTTGTCACCTTTTTCATTTATTCGATTTTTCACAGCAATTCCATCTGTTCAGATAGCTTCCTCAACAGTACATAAACCCGTTTTTTCTTGTCTTCTTGATTTGCTGAGCAAAGCTAATTGATGGGCAAATCTACTCAAAAACTTCAACCAAACGTGGTTTCATCATATTTTCACATGCACTTTGTGAGCAAAATTTTTACTTTTCTCCAACCAAACAAGAATGTTTCGAGAAAAACAGTGAGTTTAGATGGGTAAATAACTTTTAACGCTTTATTTTATCTATTAATTGTATTTAATTATGTCAAAATTCTTTCTTCTGTTTTTTTCCGTGGACACGAAGCGGAATAATAGGACAGAGCATAACCACGTGGCTCTCCCATGGTGGCGAGTTAAATCGCATTCTTTATGCTGTTTCATTTTGTTCAGACTCCGGAGAGAGAAAACATCAAAATATCTATTCCTGTGTGACAAAAAATTTTGAAGAACGAGAGGTTACGATGACTCACTAATAAAGAATCATTAATAAGCTTGAATCTTTGGTACCAGCTTTTTGGAGAAAATGCTGGGAAATTAGGGGTGAAAAATTTTATTCCTATGTTTATTATGAACTTTTGTTAAAATAATTTTGGGAAAAAACTTTCTCATCATTTTAATTTTTATCCACTCATTGCTAAAAAATAAACCCATTTCTCCTATGGTTTTTATTTTTTCCTCACATCTCGGATTCTTGTACTAAAATTTGGAGACGAAAATGACCTCACAACCAGCGTCTTCGTCTTCACCCACTTAGAGAGTGTATTGGATTAGAATTTTAAAAGACTTTTTTAAGTTAAAAAATCTTATAAATTTTAAAAGACTATTTAGAATTAGAGAGACTTTAAAGACTTTTTTAAAAGATTTTTTTTACAATCAAGATTTCATAAGATTGAATTTTAAAGGACTTTAATAGAATTTATAAGATTTGAAAGGAAAATATAAATTTATAAGATTTTTAAAAATCATACGAATTTTTAACAAACATTCAAAATTACAAGAGTCAATAAAAAAGAGAAAGGTTATACTTACAACCTAATTTTGTTTACAACCTTTTACAACCATATCTTAACCGATTTTCGTCAATCATCGGTTATCATTCATTGCAAATTAAATATTAATTAATGAGTTTGATTTGCGAAAATAATAACCATTGATTGACGAAAATCAACGGTTAAGACATGGTTGTAAAAGGTTGTAAACAAAAATAGATTGCAAGTATAATCTTTCCCATAAAAAATAACAAAGAAATGCAATGAAATTAATAAAATAAAGTAAAATCTAATATAATTTTCTCAATCAGTAAAACATAATATAATTTTTAACAAACATTCAAAATTACTAAACAACAGCTTTTCACATATCTAATGGGTTGAAAATTATCTTCTTCATTTGGTATCAAAGCTATGCTTATATGATTATATGACCCAATTTTTTTTAATTATAAAAATAATTCTAAATTTGCATATAGAACCTAAAGTTCATGATAAAATTTCGTTTAGAATTTTTTGTAATTGATCTTGAAAACCTTGAGATTTTTGTTTTACGTGATGAGAGTTTTCTAACCATATATCATATGCATATTTTCATTGAATATTCTAAGAAAATTTCGAATCTGAAATTTTGGGTTTAATTACATGAAATTTTAGAAAATTTCTAAAATCTTTTTCAATTGATACATTGAAACCTTAAATTGCTTTTGGGCTTTTGAAAAACAAGTTTTTAGTAATCTATTGAAACAAAAATTGTATGAAATCGTTCTCTATAGTGAAAGAATTTCGTTCATGAATGTATTGTTACAGAATATAGAGTTCATATTATGAAAGTTTCGATATTTCTTTAAATTGATATTGTTTCATTGATGTAAAACGAAAATTGGTTTGAGGGTTTTATGTTGTTTTTAATACAAAAATCACACGTTTTTGTGCAAAGAAAAACCGCGACCCATAGTTTGAAAAATCATTTTTTAAACTTCCAAAATTTCTCAAAAATATGTTATTTGTTAGATAGATTATATTAAAATCTCGTTGGGTTGTTGTTTTGTGATGAAAATCGCTAAAAAATATGCTCTTTTTTTAGTTTTGATGAAGCTCCCATGGCGGAACCCAATTTCGAGCAGTCAACCTGTCAAAGGAAGAAGAAAACACTGCAATAGAAGAATCTCAAAAAATCCTAGGAATTAGAGGAAGATTGTGAGAGAGACATCCTATTTATATTTTTCATTAAAAAGTCTCACGAAATCCACACCAATAGAAAATCCATTAAAATCGTCGGATTTTGGAATATCACGAGTAGAGGTGTAAATGGGCCAGGCTGGGCTGGGCTTTGGCCTTCCTGGCCTAAGCCTACGTAAAAAAATATTCAACCTATCTGGCCTATTGGCCTACTAAAGGCTTTATTTATAAACCAAGTCTAGCCTATTTTTAAAAATTAGAGAGCCGTATATGGCCTACATGCCTTGTAGGCCTCCCTAGTGAAATACTTTTAAAAATATTTAAAAATATTTTTAACAATTTTTAAAATATTCGCTTGACATTAAAAGCCATTCACGTGTTCATAAATTGCTGCATTTTTTTACACGAGATATAAATTCACTAGTGAGCATTAAAAATTTTACAATAGCAAAAAAAATAACTATAAAAATATACTGAGCAAAGTTCCATTCATGCATGCACTAGTACTTCTCATAATTCATAAAAAAATGACAAACAAGAAAGAGTCAACATAATACCCCAATTCTATAATGTATATCATTTACCCTAAAATAAATATATTATTTTATTTTATTTTAAAAAATTAAATAGGCCAGCCTACAAGGCTTTGGGTCAGACTTGACAAAATTGGTCGATGGCCTACTTGTTAAAAAGGCTTTCTTATAAGCCTAAACATACTCTACTTTGCAGCGTAGGCCGGGCTAGGCCAGGCTCAATGTAGGCCGGGCTGTAGGATAGGTCAGGCTAGCTGTAACACCTCGTGTATACCCGGTTTGTTAACATATCATCGTATTAAGCCACGCTTAATTAAAAATGCGGAATATCTTTTTCTTTTCAATTATGACGTCATTAAACTTAGCCAAGTTGATTACTTAGTCAATTTCATAAAACATCGCCTGTATGTAAATTGCAAAAGACAGCTAACTGAAATACCTCAATATATAAATAACTATGAGTATCTAAAATCACGGAACTACAACACGTAGTCCGGACATAATCCTGATACATTATTACAACTCGAATCTAAAATAAGACATAGTCAATCAATGTGGCATGGACAATCCCCATGCTCACCAAATAAGGCAACAAAGCCAAACATAGTCTCAACGACAGCAACATAATAATAACAAGCTAATAGCATATAGCAACAGGCATAATCCAACATCCCAACATATCATCATATAAACAGCAAAAATCAGCTAAGCTCTGGCCTCCTGCCGCAAGATGACTCAACCCCCGCATTACCTGAACCTGAAATGGTGCCCCAAACGTGGGGTGAGATCTCTAAACAGAAATCTCAGTAAGACAAGGGGTCATCAAGGATCTTCCACCCCAAGCTCACTTACATGTGTAATATAAGTTCTAAAAACAGTTCAACAATATAAGTTCCAAAATCAGTGTAATGCAATAGATAACCATGTCATGTGTGTCAAGATATTCTACTGGTCAGAGAAATGCAGGGTATACGTCTATCTCCTACAATCAGTGTAAGACGCCACTTGCACCCATCCACAGAATCACCATCTTGTATGACGCCGCATACTCAGGCTTACCGTATAGATGGAACAACACATGCATATTATAAGGCCCTAACACTTAACAGTTCAAAAGTATTCCAATCATCAAAGCATGAAAACACATTATGCATATAAATCATTCCCCCATGGGGTATGGTGGAACCAACAATGGATAAACCGAGGACACAAAAGCTTACCTTTCAAGCTAGCTACCCAACCCAAGAGTCCAACCAAGCTCAAAGTCCACACACAGCACAAACACAATCTGTTTTGGACCAGTAATCATATTAATATTCAAACATACAAGCATATGACATAAAGACAACGCATTTCCTTTACGTTTCATGTCTTTAGGCTTCTCACAAAGCCATAAGCCCTTAATCACTTAGATCCTAACTTAGATTAATCATTACAGAAGTCCCACTTCATCCATCTAGGGTCCACAAACCCATAACAGGCTTCTGTATGAACAGTACAGCTACTGTTCGTCGAAAACTCA